GGAAATATTAAAACAGTGCAATAAGACAACTCAGGTCCTAACACAGTTTTCCAAAAGAGTCTCAAGGACTGACTCAGCACCTTGTTATTTACAGGCTTCTATTTTTGGAGTTATTTGGGATCAGAGGGAGAATGATAACATGATCAAGGCAGTAGCCTAGGCCTCAGCAGACGTGTTCAGTCTTCTACCCTGTACAGAGATGTAGTGTGAGTGTGGGCCAGTCACTTCTGACCAGAGTTTCTGCTGAGATCTTAAACACATGTCGATTTTTACCTGTGTAAGAGATAAGACATGAACTCCCCAGTAACTAAACAGTGACAGCAGATTTTCCTTAATTGACAGGGAATTTTTACAGGTGAAAACAGTAAAGACACTACAAGTTCTAGCTGGCAGGATTGGAGGGATCTCTCATGTCTTTTCAGTTATATTAGCACTGAAAACAAGCATTTAACATCATGATTTATAACTTCAGTTCACCTATGGACAAGACATTTGAGCTGGTCCATATATATCAGAGGGAACAGCACAGCCCTCTGCTAAGTGGTTGGAGAAGTATCTGCATTTCCTAACTGGGAATAGTTTCCTTGTTATCATTTCACTTGTACTATAGTGTTGACTGTTGTCTTACTTGCCATAAAGCTGTCCAGGGGTTTTGAGGGTCTATTTTGTGTTCTTACTCACAGCAAGTTTTATTTTACTATAGAAGTGGGAATAGCTTTGCCTCAGCATGTACAGCTGAGGCATATTAAAATGAGACACTTAATTTTATCTGATTCTGACATAGATGGGATATAATTAAAGTGTAAGTCTCCAGAGAGATTTGCCCATTTATTCATTTTGCCAAGCAGTGTGAAACTCCCTTTATCTGTGTTTTCTTCCTGGGGCTTAGATTGTACAAATGCATGGTCATTCTCATCAATGGAAGGTTTGCTGGGCTAGTCTCTCCTGTGCTTTTATCTGAATTTTGATACCAATTCTCTGGTGTTTGTTTGTTCCTTTTGTAGGATTTTGAATCCTTTTTCTCCGCTAAGGAAGAAAATATCATTTATTCATTCCTGGGCCTTGCTCCTCCTCCAGGCACAAAGGTATGCACTGCTGTCCCTCCACAGGGACCATTTATTTGGGTTTAATAAAAGATGAAGATGGGCAGTGACTCAGCAAGTCACTTAAGGGGCAGTGACAAGCAATATATTAGTGCTCGTGCAGCAAAGTATTCTTAAGGGGGGGAAAAAAGTGTCTTGTTCAGTAAATACTAGAAAATATTTCTTTCTTGCCTTCTTTCACTGCAGGCTTGTTACCATGGCTCCAGCTGATGGTTTTGTTGTTGTTGACACAAAGCAGTATTTTATCATGTTCAGCTTTTAAATGAAGCAGAATCTCCTACTGCAATTTCTAGATTGTGTTAGTTACACAAAACCTTGTCCTCCCCCTGAGTGCATCAAACCTTGAGCAAACAGGGTTTGTCCTGGCCCCCAACAGCAGGGTCTGACCCATTCCATTCTGCAGGTGCTCACACAGACCAGCACAATGGAGCTTGATCCCTCTACCTTGAGGAGGTAAAGGCTCACCCAGGGCTTTACCAAGACCCTTTGGCAAGTCTACCCATTGTTCTTCATCCACTGTATTTTGAATGCTCCAGTATATGCACACCTACAGGTTGGGTGGGGAAGGAATTGAAACCAGCAGTGAGGAGAGAGACTTGGGAGTGACAGTGGATGAGAAGCTCAGCATGAGCTGCAGTGTGAGCTCAGCCCAGAGACCAATGGAATCCTGGGCT